CTACGTCTTTTTAATCATTAAACTTTATGTCGAAAATTAATCGTGACTGATTCGCGTTTATTGACTTTAACTGATTTACTGCTCAGATATTTAGTAGAAGATTAAGGGAGAGAGAAAATGAAGTTATAGCACAAGTGATACCGAAATTTTTAGAACATATGTTTAGCTAAAATTCTTTCATGGCACTCGCGTTTCTCGATGAAAATTCGAAAATATTTATATTCCTGAATCTTCGTATATTTTACGTGAATAAAAGTAAATTGTTGAACGTAGGGAAAACATTTTTAATTCAATTGTGTTGCTTTATTTCTCTTCTTCTCTTTTCTAATACCTTTTCAAAGAAACTTGTTTTTAACCTTTTAATTTTTCCAAGGTTAAATATTTAGATTTATATTAATAATAATTATTATATTTATTATTAATAATTATATAATATAATTATTAATAATAAATATTAAATTATATGAATTAGTGCAAAAGAAAGATATATTCCAATTTTCTAATGTGCGCATATTATAAACGCAAATAAGACGACAGAACATATTTCGTTTATTCACAAATTGCTATGACAATTCATAATATTCATAATTACAAATATATGCGGAGGAAATTTTATTTTACACAATTGCACAAGTTCAATATTTAAAACCGCAATGTAATTTTTTCGCTTTTCAAGCGACAAGCGGGTGGGACTAGAAATCGATCTAATAATTGAATGTGCGATTATTCGCTTATTATTTATCTTCCCATAATCCAGTTGCTATAATATTTAAATATCCTGAAAATTACTTAAAGATCCCCACGTTACAATAGTTTCTGGATAGTTGATTAATTTAGAGGAATTATTAATACAGATCTTGGAATACGCTCTTAAAACATTGTATGACGATCCCGCGACATTCTGCGTAACGAAACAAATCTGGAGAAATTTAGTATTGATATCTGCAACTGAAACTTTCGCTCAAAGGGAAATAGGGAATTTACAAAGTTGAAAATTACATATTCCGTGTGATCGTTTTCAGTCTTAACTACTGAACTCTGCTGAATTTCAAGCTGAATGCATATTTACCTAAATAAACTAGCGCAAACACTAACACATATTGGCTAAATTTTCTTTAACAGCACACTTAAGCGGACATATGAAACTAGGTATCTATAATGATGTATGTATCATGCATAACGATATACATAATTTCGAGAGAACTAACAGCCTTGGATCGATTTTCGATGAGAGATGTGGAGACAAACTTATTATTAATTCAATATAAATTTAATCAATTAGTTTCTCTGACAAGACAAATAAACGTAGAGATCGTGCGTTAAAAATTAGAATTTTTACCGAGGTTCTGTTGATTTCAATTCGGAATAATAACGCAACGGCGGGAGGGATTTTTTTTGTTTTTCAAGAAGACCCCAAGCTTTTTCGCGTTAAAATATTTTAAATAAAGTTTAACGGCTTTGTTTACATTGGAGGGAAACCGCGCGCTATGCGTGCATGCGTTTTAAACCGCGACGGTGAACCATTAGACGCCCGGCAGATAAAGTATCGCGAAGTTTTAACTAGTGATGCATTGACGTAGTTGGAAATGCGCCGGTGTGAATTATATACTTGCAACTTCGTTTCACAACGAAGACTAAATCTTCAGTCGGCGCGTCTGTGCACGTGCATTAATGTTTTACGTAGAGACACGTACGCAATGAGCATTTACTCGTCCACTTTTCGCGCCGTTTCGGAGAAAGTTTCATCACCATTTATATTTAGATAAAGGCACGTAAGTAAAGTTACTAAGCAAAATTTAAGTAAATTTAAAGCCTCTTCTCTGTCGCATCTTTGCACAAGTGTTTTCTCTTAATACATAATTTATGTAAAAAATCTATATCTGCGTACATATATTGACACCTTCTTTCCGATTGAAATTTTGTTTATTTTGATGTACACTCATCTGCCTTTAATAGATAAATTTTAAGCGGTGCAAAGTTACACTAAAATGTTTGTAGTGGCTCAACGAGTCAAATTTGACTCAATGAGTAGTCGCCGCTGCTCCTATTCAACATGCTGTTATTTTTAACTATCGTGTATAGTAAAATTTCTTATTTTAACACAAATTGTAGTGAAAAGAGCAACTACATTGTTTATTCAGCTCATTTTGCGGATTCTTTTAACTCCGTTGTTTAATTAAATTAAACGACGTATCGAGTAGGAGCAGTGGCGACTACTCGTTCGAGTTGAATTGAACGCCACAAATTTAACAGTGTAGAAAAGACTGGAATTATCTTACGACGTTTCACATATGGGAAACATGGGGAGTAGAAATTTTATCTCTAACGACTGGCGTCACGCTCGCATGGTTTTTCGCTAGAAGACACACTATTATTACAACACTTCTTTACGGCCACGTGCGTAAAGCTTATTGCTATCTATATCCGTGGCATACAAATATGCAAGTCTGTTTGTCGACGTAGCGCTGGGATATGGTGCACTGCAGAAAAATAGTACGGGAATATATAGAAAAAAAATTATTAAATGTGCGCGCGTACGCCGAACGGCAAACAACTATTGCCCAGAGTGTTTTTGGGCCAACCGCGAAGTGTATTCGATTTTGTCGTACCTGTGTAAAACTACGGTTTTACTACTAGGACACGGCAGAAAAAGAGAGGGTGGGAGGGGGGGGGGCGCGTATAATCCGCGCGTGGAAGCTCGCGATTCGCATTGTTGAAAGGCCCATTGTTGTTATCCGCGCGCATATCTCGTACTTGGAATGAATTACTGAATCGTAAACTACAAGACGCTGTGGAATAAATTAAACAGGATAATTACGCTGGTTGAACATTAACGGCGCGGCAGTATTGCGAATATCGGGGGGTATTATATCATCCAAACGTTTAATTAAGCTGCTTAGGCGTTACTCAGCATTCTGGAAAATGTTATTTAACGCGAAAAGTCTTTAAAACGTTCAACGGGAAAGTGAGACTTGTTAACTTTTCTCGTTAATCGCGAAACATAATAGCATCTACATTGCTTTTTTTGCGTATAAAAAAATTTGAACGTCCGTTACTATTAACCTTTTTTCTCGCTTTATTTAACTTTTTGTCTATATTTGCGCACGATATTGCAGCAACGGGAAAAACGCTCTGTATTCATTTCATCAGTTACGATTCAAAATTCGTTGTATGCCGTATTCTTTTATGACCACGTTTTGTTTTTGGATACGTAGTAGTTGTTTCGGAACGTATTAATTGTGGAATTTAACTAAGTAATTAATTTTTCTGTATTTTCTCACATTGTTTTATTATATGTACACTTAGCGGGGTCTCTGTGAACTTTCTATATTTTGCAGAAATTGGCGGTGTATATTTTATATTAATGTTGCGTAATGTTGGACGAAATTTAATTTTATATATTACTCTCCGTATTTTATCGCGTGCTTTATTCTAGGTCGTCCGATAATGTAGCGCTTTTTGCAAAATCTGCCCAATCTCACATATTGCGGCGCCGCTATAATTAGCGATCAATTGATAAAGACGCATTCGTCGGAATTACAGGCCGGCAAGATCGATCCGCATACAAATTTGCGGTTATTGAATTTTGTTTTACGGACGGTCGCGCGAGTATGGGTCGGCACGCGTTAAAAGCGCCGTAGCTAAAATAACACAAAATAATGGCGACGCGCGAGTTTTAACGCATTTAATCGCACGTAAAAGCTTTATTCCGAGGGGAGGAAAAAAAAAGATCATCGGCGCGATGTCCAACGTGGAGTTACGCGGCAAATCGTACGCCGCATTCGTTCGCACGGCTCGACTTTTAAATTCTAATTAATCAATTCGTGCGACGCACACATAGGCGCGGCCGATGGGGCGAAAAGGTCGGGGGCGAAATGGCGACTTCGCCCGTCATCCTTTATGCGTGGGCTTATCGAATATACCCTGCACATTTCAGTTGCAATTTGCAGTACCGAACGTATTACGATTACATTGGTGCCCCCTCGTTCGCTCGCTCGCTCGACTTTTCCCGGGAAGATTCAACGTGAAATACAAAAATGATCTCAATGTTTTATATTAGCAGTTGGCCGTGTGCTAACCCGGGGCAGCGTATTATGCGAATTCGCACAAGAGAAAATTAACCTGGGTTAACTCGGGCGTTACTGAATTTTTTGCCCGTTTAAATGAGGTAAAGAAATTCTTATTTTCGCGTATTTTTGCGCATACACGAAAAATGAATGAACACGAACGTTTCGGTGCAACGTGGCGGAAGGGCCGCTCTTCGACCGCGCTCGCGCAGTTATTCCAATAGGAATTGGCATATGTAACTACGCGTTTTCTCATCGTTTGTATCGCGTTATTTGCTTACTTGGAGCGAACGAGTGGAAAACTCGCGCCCGCGGAAAAATACAAGAAACCGTGCGGGCGGAGCGCGCAAAAAGACACTGGTGCTCTGACATCTGCCAGAAGCAGCCCGGGGGCGACCCATTTATTTCCGTGGGATTACCCGAATTTCAGATTCTCTTATCGCTCTAGCAACGTGCGCTTATGCGTTTCCAAGTCGGCTAATTAGCACCCGGTGCTTGCTCCGCCGCGAGCGCCAACACGCTTTGCGCCGCGCCGCGCCGAACCGAGCCGAGCCGAGCCGTTCGTTTCTTGTGAAAATTCACCGGCTGCTTACCTTGTAATTTCCCACTTTCCTGATGGTACAGGAGAGAGCGACCTCTTTGCCAATAGCGGCGGTCACGTTGCCGATCGGCTCGGAGAAGCTCGGCACATCTGCGAACCAAAAGAAGCTTCGCATTATGCTCCTAATTAAGTTGAGGCATTCCGAGACCCTTGCGCAGGCAACGCGATACCTTAGAAAATTTTAACTAACAGACTCTTTAAGTAACATTCTACAAGAGAGAAGGAAATAACGTTGACACTTACACCTGGAAACAAGTTGCACGGATAAAAGTTAAATTGCACGAAGCTTTCTGAAACACGATTATAGTTTTAATGACATATTTTAACAGGTACAGAGCAATTTTTGCGACAAAACGTTTGAGGAAAAATGTCGCGTTTGTCGACATTTTAATATTCGTTATCGTATATATTGTGGCGATAAAATGTCGAATATTAAAAATAATTAACCGATGAAACTGCGAGTGCGAGTAACAAAGCGTTAAAAGTTATCCAACAAAGTATCGGTGAGTTACGGTATTGTTTGTTCACCGAATGTTATATCAAATTGGTCGTAGAGTAGGCGAAATTTAGTAATGGATTAACCACAATAGATTAATCGCCTTTATTGATCAATCAATGTTCCCTGGAGAACAGTGCCCTCCCGGGTACAATTATAATTCAGGTGGTTGAGCTGCGCGCGTAAACTTAAATAATTTATAACCGTGGAGCAATGGAAGACTTGAAATAACGATTGGCAACGAACTCCCTCAAGTGAGGTAATTAAAAACACATAAAGCATCTAATATTGCCCGTGGCTCTAACTGTAACGTTAGCCGGGCCAGAAAAAGCGTCGAGCGTAATTCTAATTTTACGAATTGTTACAATTTTCGAAAGAAAAAAAAAATAAAATATTTCGTACGAAATATCCAGCTTATTCGAGAGTTTCGCGCAGCGAATATCGAAAATTGCAATTATCGCGCTTACATCGCACGCGAAATTTGAACGCGTTTCGCAATTACATCCCTGCGCGTGATGATTAAAATAAATATTTCGCAATGCATTATTGGCGCTTCAGTGATACACGTCGTGTGCAAACGATACATCATGTCGCAGCGAGATTATGAAACTAATATCGTTCATTCAACTTTCCATTTCCATAACGTAAAATAATGTTATAAATATTCGGTCCCGCGTCGATAAATCGTTATTTTATACGAGGGTTAGCGCGCTCGCGCGCGCGTTGCTTTGACAAATATTTTATGCCACTCGAGGCAGACGCAGTGCTTCGATGTTCATGATTCGTTGCCTCTCGTTAAAACGCACGTGACGGCGCAATAGCGGCGATTAACGGCTTGTTGACGAATATAATACCGTATCTCGAACGGTGAAGTATAGTTTTAATTTCCTGTCAAGCCCCAAATTGCAGCCCGTTGACGTAGATGGCGATGCACCGAGTTGTCCCTATGCATAAGAATCGCGGGACGCGTTACAAGACTGATATAAATGAGGAATATAATAATGAATATTCATCAAAACGCCAGCTATGGAGGGCCGTTGATAAATTCTTCATCACAATAGCGTTAATCTAAAATATATTGTGAATACCTCGTTCGTGGCTTTCGCGAATGCCATGGCTTACAATAAGCACAAATACGCACTCGCGGGCGCGCGTGTGTATTTCATGCAAATTCCTCACACAAAGTGGCCTGTGAACATTGCCGTAGCTTATATCGCATATTGTACCGAAATCTGAACATTAAGATAACGGGAGAAATTACGCATTTATCAAGTGCATTGGAACCGCTGCGCGGTAAGTTTGCACGCGTTACGTGTCATAAAAGCGTCCCTTAATTTTCGATTATGTCATTAAGATCCGAGAAACTTCGGCTGTCACATCTGGTGGGTAATTATATAATTGTTAGTGGAACTTGTCGCCCCCCCCCCCTTTCCCTTTCGGCTGCTCGAAATCTCGCGCGATCTCGCGGAGTGATCTCATTGTTTAACGTTGAAAGAACTTACGTGATCTCGGCAAATTCACGTGGAGATTTTCGCTTATCATCTTTCTACTTCTAGAGGAAAATTACGTAATTGATCTCCCGAGTTGTCCAATTTTCCTACAATAAAAGTCTAGATTCATTCTTCTTGATTCATTCCGCTTGCTCTCGAGAACAATGCGCCGGCTTTATTTTACGAAAGCACCGGCGATTCTTCCCACCGGGCCGGGCACCGTAAAATCGAGCGGGCGAATACGGCGGCTGAGAGAGGGAAAAAGCGTAGATCGAAGCGGAAAGTATTACGAGGCGCTACACACTTTTATAAGCAAGAAACCGTCTCTCTTGCCGCGCGGCTTGCGGCGGTGGCGCGGGGCGAAAAAATGGGCGAGAAGTTTAAGCGAACAGCATTCAGCTGTATCGCGGGCACGGCACGTGGCGCAATATTGAAACATGCGCCAAGTCAAAGTTTGCAAATACCATCTCATTGCCGAGTCATGCTCCTGCAGGAGGGGGAGGGGGATGTGGTGCATCGGGCGCGCAACATCCGCCGGCCTTTCCGCATCGCGGTTGCATCGGAACGGAAGAAGCCCCGTGACTGCAAACTGCGTCGGCCAATCCGAAACCGTGTAATATTCCGGGATACGTCGGAACTGTATGCCGGGACCTCGCCGGGCGTTTCGCGCGTGACACAAGGCTGGACGAGCGGCGACGGACGCAGGACTCGCGAGTTAAATGTGTCGAAAGTGTCGGCGTTGGTTTGCGAGGTCCGTCGATCTCGGGCGGGACCGAGCGCGCGCGCACGCGATGGTATTATGATAAGATATTCACTGACAGAAACAGGAGAGGAAAGGAATTTTCAGCTTCCACCGCGCCATCGTCCCCGCGGCCGTATCCAGAATGTAATATAAGGAGACGTGGGGGGGAAAATAGCGACGTTACTCGCTTCGAGTGGCCTCGTCTACGGGGGATGAGATGGGAAGATAGGGGAGAGATAAGGAGACAGTGAGAGAGGAAGGGAACTCGAGAGATTTTGCTTCTCTCGAGAGGGATGATGCCGCGAGCGGTAGGCGGGTGTGTACGTGTGGTCGCGCATACACACTCGTATCGCTCTTATTTTATGGCGAAATTATTCCAGGAGAAAAATAATTCAATCTCTGCGCGGTACAAGTTACGGTACTTGGCATCCGCGCTCCCGTACTCGAGTGTCGCTCGTTTCTGCGGACTCCGGAATGCCGATCGAAGAAGAGGGCGGATCGGCTTTCACTTTTGGCCCTCGACATCGGCCCGCGCTGATAATCACGGTGAAAAATAAAAGACGCACCCCTCGTCGGGAAAATTGATCTCTCCGTCTCGTTGTTTTGTCACGACTCGGTCTCCACGAGACGAGCACGCGACGAATTATTTACGTGGTCCGCCCCTTTTACAGATTTCTTTACACATTGTTGCGAGAAGAGCGACTTACTTACCTTTTTAAAGGGAAATTTAAAGATCGCTTGGGACGACAGCGGCGCAATCGAAATGCGAATTTTTAGCTCGAGGGAAGGAACGAATATTCGACTTTACGGAAAAGATGGTTGTTGTAAAAATATATTAACCTGTCGGTCTATTACATTTCGTAGGAAAATGTTTACCTTCGGTACGCGCAAGGTGCAGTTTTTTTTTAGATACGAGCGAGGGGAATAACTGTAATGGGCGAATATCCCCGAAACTATTTGAAATATCAAAAAATCGTTTCGAATTTTCAAGTAAAAGTTTGATGGAACGTGTGCGCGTGTGCGATGGAAAACATGGAAACCCTATATAGCAATCGAATAACTAAACGTCAAAAATCAGGTGTCAGATTTCGTAGTTGCGCTCGAACAACTTGTTATCGTTTCCATTTAAAACTAGCGTTCGTTAAAACAAGTTAAAATTTGTAAAATCTAAGGCACGCTAATTTCTCACAATATCCGAAGTTTTACAAAAATATTTAAAATAAAATCATTGCGAACACACGTATGTGTAAATGTAGGAAAGTCTTGGAGAGCATTTTTTAATTTTTAAAATGTTTTATTTTTTCGTAATTTATTTTTTGGTGCACGATATTTCGAACGTAAATTCTTGAGAAGTACGAATGTATAGGTGTTCAGTTGAAATTATTGACGGAGAATTGAGCGCGAGATAACACAGTTGTAATGCGCAATATTAAATGAAAATTGTTCCCGGTTTATAAAATACGATGCAATTTTTAACCAATTTCGAGCATGCGATGTTTTATTTCCACAGTGTCGACTTCCATGCTCATTTTATGATCGCTAGCGCATCGATTTTTTACGCGAGATACGGTATTTAAGAGATTTTTACATAATTGTACATTTCGCTTTTCGCGATCACGATCGTTTGCGAGACGTCGCGAATGCGGCAGAGCGAATAAAAGTTGCGGCGGCCAGTAGTAGAAGTAAGGCATGAGACCGACGCGGCGTTATTTCCTTCCGCGTCGTAAAATACGTAACTACGTTAGCGGCTTTAAGCAATCGAGATTCGAACGCGATAGAACGGCTGCGCCGTTTCTGTGGCAGTTTCTCCGCGGGAAGCCTCCGGGGCGAGAAACTTGATATCAAAATAAATGGCCGTACCATATCGTGACGTTGTAAAGAATCTAAAAGAATTCGGGCGTATACGACGATGTTAAACCAAACAATATTGCGCTCGTGTGATACATGCGAACATTACGTCCCAATCGAGTGATAAATCCGTCAAATCGAAGCTTTTTTTTCCGAAAAAAAGACGTGGTACATAAATAACTTGGAAAGTTATGTAATAAATCTCCACGATTGTTATAAAATTTCTGCGAAATTACTCAGTTTCGGTAGGATCGGCGTTTTCGGAATAATAGAAGTGGAGTTGGGTGGAAAAGTGAGGAAGGTGCGGGACACAATTTAAAAGTGGAGAGGAAGAGGTCAATGCAATTCATGAAACTTGATGAATACGATTTTAAACGTTACAGAAATGAAAGAAGTTACCACAAACGATAATTGTACCTTTCCAGTCTGCATAATTATACGATTTCATTCAACAAATATTCTTCCTTCGTTATTCATTAATCTTGACGATGAATCCTGCCGATCTAATAACTGA